CATTGTTCATTTTCCTATTTTGTTTCTAATAAAATTAATAAAGCAATGAGTAGATAGGGACCCCTCTACTTCTATGAAAGCATAGTGATTGCCTTCAGAAAGGGAAAACTCACAAGTTGCAAGAGTTTTATAAAAATAAAATTCTATCCATATGTCAAATGCTCATTTCCAGCACATCTGTCTTAGCGAAGTAAAAGTTTTTAAACTTAGTAGGACAYCAACTTCGAGAACTCCCTTGAAAATTAGTAGGAATTGTACAAACAAATCCCTTAACAAGCTTTCAGATCTCTACCCAGGAGTTAAAAGAAAAATTAGGTTGCAAATTTTGCAAGATTTCAAGGGCTCTGTAATCTCACTTGTCCAAAACCCCCCACAACATCTACGTTCAATGAGTGCAGCAATGCATTTCTGTTATCACSCAGAATCCAGGAGGTGAGAACTTGAGCAATAGTGAAGTTCTAATGAATTTTTTAAAATCGGTTAGGAGCTCAGCATGGAGATTTGAACGGGTTCAGGGGGTTGTGCAGATTTCTTCCATCTCAAYTGTCAACTGCTTGCTCGTGCTGAATGTACTGATGAGGAAATCCTCAGAGCATGCAGCAGCCCACTGCAGGGACGCCATTAGGAATGTTCAAAAAAAAAAAAAAAACTGTGGTGCCTGAAGAGTTCCTTACTCAAGTTTCTTGARATAAAAGGAAATTATTGTGACAGGTTCTGCTAAGCCCAGACAAGGCATCTTTTCTGTGTTACCTCACTCAAGAACACCCATTTGCTCGTTTCTCAGCTGACTGAAGAGCAGCTTCTTCTGGTGCAGATTCTGTTTCCTCCTACAGGGAACGCTCATTTCCACGGCTGCTCTCACAATTAGAAGACAACACTTCTCCCTACAAGTACTACAGGCCTATATACCACAGCAAAAACACGCCAAACCCTGCTCATTTCATGAATTTCCAGCTTAAAGGGGAGTAGACAGATCAATCTTCACCAAGTCTTGAACACAGCTCCCATAGTAGATATTCTTCCATAAGAGCTGGGCCAACACAAATGTTATTAAAAGCAAAGGGAAAGGGCTGGATTAGCGATGAAATAATATAAGTTATGAAAACCACACAAGCAAATGTCAGTTTTGAAACTAAATGCTAATTTAACTGGTCTCCATGTAGGCAAAAAAAACCAACAAATAACATATTCCTTGATGCAAAACACTTCTTGTAAGCCTGAAAGCAAGACTAAACCGAAAATACGGGATTAAGAACTTCATCTTGTTTTGTGGGGAGTTTCACCGAGCACAACAGGAATATTCCTGTGTGCTTTATGCAAGGGTGTTTATAGTACAAGATTGAATTGCTGAGCCATTATTTTACTTGTGGCTCAGGAATCACTCCAAAGCAAACATGAGGGAGAATACAGCAACACGTATTTTCAAAATTAATCAAACACATAATAAATTTTAAGCAATGAAATTTTGAATTCAAAGCCCAGCTCCAGCCCTGCAGTCAAWCACCAGGATTTATTACTGCCTCTCTGCTAGTCAGTCCTGACAGACAGSTAACCTCCAAGCCACTATCACACAGCTCAAGAGCTAATTGTTTCTTCCAAAAGTAAGTATTTCCAGAGGTGAAAAAAATCCTGTATATTGCTGATAGTACAAATAAGCAAACAATACAGGAAGTCCATGCTTTTCTGGTCTAAAGACAACATTTTTCTATAAAGGGATATGTTTGCTCATATGTGAGAAAGGAGAATGAAAGTAGAGGTCCTACACCACTTCCACTGGGTATCACATGGTGGTAGCCAACCCTGTGTACACAACAAAATGGGATCCAACAAATCTCATCTCCTAAAGTGAATGTTCTGGAATCCAACATTTGTTCCCCTATCTCAGGAGCTGAAATTATTTTTATCATCTAAACAAAAAGAAATTTCATGCTTATGAGTGTGCACAACATTTTWTTAAGATTGTGTCTCTTCATCTTTTAAATTCTTGCTTAAAAAAGACCTCTTAAAAATTTTCCATGTATTTCTTGCTATGTAGATAAACAATTTATCTTGTATCARTATCAAAAGGGCAGTATTTGATATGACTTTCCCCAAAGGCCAGCCAATCACAAAAAAAAATACAATATTTAGAAGATCCATGTATTCATGATGCCTTATCTTCTCTAGATTTATGGGTAATTCTAATTTTTAAGCCCTCCACTACAAGAAAAAAAACAACCTCTAACAACAACAATTTAATCTACCCAAAATCCTCCTCAAGGGTCTCTGGAGAACCAGGACAACCCAGCGTTTCCAGGCACAGACTCCGAAGCACTGAAGCAAGCACAGGCTAGGTGGCAAGAGTTAAACAAAGCAGCTAAAATTCAGCAGCAYTGCAAGCCATTCCAGACTCGGGTTACTGTAACCTACACTGGGTGTCCTCTGCATAAGCACCAGTGTGACTTTGTGGACTGCTGAGACTCAGTCTGTTGCAACTGGCATAAGTTGCCACAGGCGAGTAATCACAAGAAACTGACCTTGGCAAAAGCACATTTTACACTTCACTGCTGTTCAACTGTGTTATACTAAAGAGAGAGCAAGTGAGCACAAGCAGAAGGGGGAGGGAGAGAGAACAAAGGGGGATCGACAGCATAAAAGTGAACGTAGCCATTTTCGGCTTTACCTGTGTTTAAGATTTTAAGAGAGGTGCATCACACCTCCAGTGCACATCACACCCTCCACAGGATTACATCAATTCTGCATGATAWAGTTTTTAAACCACCAGGGTCTGAGGAGATCTTCTGGGGGGAAGCAGAAAGAAAGGAGACTAAGTATTAAATTAGAAATTAGTATCTTTAAAAAAATTCTCCCAACAAGGATGAGGGGAAGTATAGAAGACAATTACAACTTCCCATTTTCCTACCACTGGATTAATGCATAAATGAGGATTTTTAAATTGTTCTTTCCTCCTGCTTGACCACACCTGTTGAGAGTACATTTTTGAATCAGCTGCAGCTAATAAAGCCTGAAGTATTCCATGAAGCAGGCAGCAAGATGTCTTAGTCCTAATTTTGAGYGTTTCAGCTCAACCTTAACTTCAGCTCTCAACAGCCCGGCAGCAATTTGCAGCATGGTATGGTAAAAATCCCCACTGCTGCACATACAGCTGTGTCTGGCTTTTCTCAACATCTCTGGTCTCCCATGGTTTGAATCACTCACTTCCTGTCAAATAATTTTCTTAGTTTCTACATTACTTTTCTTTGGTATTGATTACTCGATCTCCAAAGAAACAGGACCTGGCAGAGCAAGATGGCACGGGATCCCATCGTTAGTGCTAACCCACATCCTGCCCAAACTTCACAGCAGGTTTCACACAAGGATTTAACCTTGARGGTATGCTGGGTTTCCAGGACATTCGCTGGTTGAAGCAAAACATGTGGAAGCTTTGTACGAGCTCCAAAATACCAAATCACTCTCCACTTGGGAAGTGTACAAGGTATGCAGAATGCTAGACAAAATAAAACGAGACCACATGCATTTCGTGTCTGCTTCCTCACCACTCTTAGGTCAGTGACCTAAGGAYTCAACACAGCTTCTCTTCCACGTCTTGCAGTCTGCTGCTCTCCTGTGCAGGCAGTTTCTCTATTCCTCATCTGCTTCCATAAATAACTCAAAACCCCGCCACAAAAGCCAGCCTTTGTTCCTCTCAAACATGCAAACCCTTCACATCTCTGTCTTCACAAAGTCTCCACTCCTCTATTAAAACTCCTCGCTCTCCATCTCAATCCTCTCAATGCCATCACTACCAATAAGCAGAAGTGGCTGGTTCTGGACACAGCCACGTTGTTACCTTGAACCATTCCCGTCTGACAGAGTCTCGTCATGGTTTAATGACCTCCCCTGTCACCGGCCAGGGACATACAAGGCTCAGCCCTGACAGCAGATGGCTGATTCACACACACTGGCGCTCAGCCACTCAACAATGATATGATCACGCTTAGCCTATAAATTATGAAAACAGCAATTCTATGAAGCATGACCTAAAATTTCAAGGGACTGAAGTATTTCCAAGTCTGAACTTCAGATCTGGGTCAAAAAGGTGTCAGCTGCGGATCTGCARAATTTTAATCATCTCATCAGGCTGTAACTCTCTCTCACAAATACACGATGTTTGTAATGCCCACAGGCAYGCGTCCTGACACTGAGGCAGGACTGTCACAGAGGGATGGACGGGCCACAAAAACACTCACTGCTTCTGTGCAGTGTGTGAGGAACTCTTGTAGGGTCTACACAGAGTCTAAATTGATGTTTGTCACATTTTTCTGACTGTCAATTTGGGCACAAAATAGAGTTACTGAAGTTTTTACTTATTAAGTCCTCTAGTAATTAGTTATAGCAGACAGAAAAAGATAAAATGGAAAGAGCACACTAGTTCTGCAAAAATTAGTGCAGGCCTTCAGGCTTGGCTGACTGTGGTCAGCATTTCTCACAATGACATGCAGCAAAAGAAGGAAAAGGGTCACAGTCAAATACCTGAAGGGTACTCATATCCACAGGAAGAGAGTATCTTTGTTTACACTAGCCGAAAAGTAAGCAGATCTTTATATTACACAAGAGCACCCTCAGCTGAAAGTAAGGATTTGACATCTCTTATTTCTTCAATGCACATCCTAAACAATAGGTTATTGAATTAGTCTCTCTCTTTGCAGCTCCTTCTGGGTCTCTCAAACCACACCATATTTTAAATGTACATGTCAGTCAGTGGTGCTTGAGTCATTTAACTTTATACTTCACTGGCTGGAATCTCATTTTCAAGTMATTTTATTCATTAGACAGAACAGAAACATTAACTGGATCTGCCACATCCATGCAATGTGCTGGCTACTGTGGGCATCTCTCCTCTTCCTTCCCCACCTCTTTCATCTAAGAGAATTGCTTGAAACCARTACATTTCCACAAAATATACAAGGGCTTTGTTTGAATTGGTTGTTTGAAATTTGGTTTGTTTGAATTACATTTACCTTTCTCGAAGTATTTTAGAAAGAAGTCTTGCCTAGTTTAAACTCATCCAATACAATACAATGATATCCTTGAAGTCCAGAGAGTCAGGAGAGCCTTTTCCTTCCAGCTGTGAATATTGAGTGCAATCTACAAGAAAAAGAAAGTGGAGAGGGGGAAAAGTTTGGCAGGCAATCCTTTTTTTCTCATTGGGTCAGTATTTTCAAAATCCTTACAGAACACGGCCCTGACTCCAAAAGTTCTATCAATTGCTACTTGGTTTCCAGAAAGAATTCAAAGCAGATTTCTTCTTACATGTCAGATATTCTGTCTCTCTCTTCCCTGTCTTAAATATGACGATATTAGAGTGAAAGGTGATTTCCTCTCCTTATTTRTAAAAGAAAACTTGCAATGTGCAGTTTGAATTTTCTGCTAGAGATTTAAATTTACCATCAGGGATTTGTAACTTTTTGTTAGAACCTACCAGAGAAAGGTTACAGTTTCTCAGCTGTGAAGTGCTAATGCACCTCACAAAGCCAGTAGCAACTCCCGAAACAGAAGTAAAACCATGGAAAACATAAAATACCCTTTTYTCTKATTAGATACTTAAATTCATCAACARCCATTGGTGARYAAGTTGARAAARGTATGTTTTAGTCTRGAAATAACTGTGACAAGTTTAACAAATTTTATTCTCTGCAACATCCTGCTACCTCTGGAGTTTCCACTTTTCTAGGGAACATCACTTTTTCTGGATAGCATGTCGAGCCCATAATTTTGCAGATACTTGTTCAGTATAGTATCAGCTCAATCCTTCTAGTTCTTTCAGTAACAGCAAGCAAACTCACAAAAGCTCTGCCTCAGATTTCACAGGCATGTGTGTGCCTCTCTCTCAGTACCCAGGCCGACGTGCCAATATGTAGGATTAAACTTTTTCCAAGGTTGAATAAGCCACCATCTGTCTATCTTGTGTGGTGCTGTGCGCCATCCGGGAGACTTGTCCCTTAGAGCATGTTTCTACCATATGTCACTCCTGAGTGATCAGTTATGCCAAGACATTTGGGAAAAAATGACTAAGTCGAGCTGGAAAACCCTTTCCGAATTCCAGAGGAGGTTTGCCAAGCCTGTATTTGCAAATAACTTCGCATCCACTGGTTTTTGCATATATTGTGTGTAACACCAGATAATAACTTTACCCAAAGGGACAGGAGGCACCTGCCCTCTGTTCTGTTGTCCAGAACTCACGGACTTTCTAGTAAGCTGGGAGATTCAAGTATGACACATCTCCAGGAAGAATATAAGAAACATTTACAGCAACTTTTATGATCGCTAACTTAATAAAAGAAAAAAAAAAAAAACCCAGATGTAAAGAATATAATTCAAGAAAGACTCCACTTGTTATTTTAAAGCCACAGCAAACCAGTCATTTTTTTTCAAAATGCACACTAAAAATACCTAAGGCAGCTGAATGAAAGACTTTTTACTAATGACAACCACCTAATAATGACCATCCAAAGTGCTCACCTGCATGCAAAGTGATCACCTAACTAAATGTTAAACTGCTGATACAGTTCATGCAATTAGAATTTGCCTAATAAAGAATATGACTCTATCCTATTTTAGATTTAAAGAACCATTTTATGTTCCAATTCCTCAATTATTAAATTAAAACTCAAGCCAGCATCATTCTTATGGCCAGCTCAAGGCTGCTCATTTACATAACTGACTTTCAAGGGCACTTGGTTACGCAGCAATTAATACTAGCAAAAAAATGTACCAGATCTGCTACCTAATGTTAAGAAAGACATTTTTGAGAACATTAAAAGAAGAGAGAAATTAGTAAATCGTGATTACAGCCTCCCTGAGTAAGATTAACATTGAAAGGAAATCTATTCCTAAGGGCAACAGGAGAGATATTAAATATCAGAAGATAAATTATAGGAATTATATTTAGTGACAAAAGGGAGATGAAGAGCAGTACTCAAGTCCAAGAGAGAACACAGTCCTTTGTGTTTTGCCTTCAAAATTTGGACAATCACAGAAAAAAAAAAGGATTCACTACAGCCCACGGATATTTGTAGGGAAAAAACGCAACAAAAAGCAGAAAAAGTAATGTTAGACAAAGCAAGTCACTACTGAAAAAGGGTTATTGTTAAATGAGAATGAGGGAAAACTATCACCTCAGAATGGACTTTGAAGTTTTTTTTAAATGCATCAAATTTAAACTGTCTTCTTATGCACAAAGAGTGAAACTTGCAAAGGTGAGGATGTTGGTAACAAATMAGACTAGGAAGGAAAGAAAGCCTCCTACTGCAACATGGACTTTCTGAATGGAAAGAGAAAATAAATATAGAACAGCTAGGCCAATCTGGACCACTTGCCTACGTAACACACCTAATGATTTTGAAGCTAGAGTATTTTTTGAAAGGCTCAGCTCCTCCTGGCCCACTGGGACAGCCTGAGGCATTCACTCTGTTCAGCCAAGAGAGACTGGAGACGCTGGTTCGACAGCACCAACTCTGCTGACCCTTCTCATTCCAACAAGAAACCTTTAGGGTAACAGGCACCTGCTCTAAGGGGCTCCCTGCTTGCTGCATCCACCTGCTAGCCCAAACAACCTGCCTTTCAGGATAAAACATGATCTGGGTATAAGACTGACCAACTCAGAAGGTTGCAAATGGGGACAAGAGGGAAGGGAAATTCATCAAAGCTGCCAGTTAAGAAAATTCTTATTCTGGGTAAGAATTTGCACTGTGAAGCTGATCAACAGCTTCTTCACAAAAGGAGCAGCCATGCAGCACTGTGATCTCTTGCCAGAACCACAGCAGAAACAAGAGTTTCTCCTGCAACAGGCATCCTGGAGATCCACACATATCTGTAAAGAAAAACTGTGGAGCAATAAGAAGGGAGAAAACATTGAAACATGGAGAAAGATTAAAATTTTTCTTTCCTTTTATGTTCAGCTTGGGGAGACTCAGGATCCATTTGTCCCACACTAGCGCAGACATACAAACAGGAATCTTATCAATCTTTGGAAATATTATGCTTTTTAATTTGGTTTAATCTCTAGGAGTTCCTTGGAAATTCMTGGCACACACAAGCTGTTTTCTTTTGTGTTCCACTTCAAATACTAAAGCCTCAACACTCTGTTGCTCTCACAAACCTTTTAGGGAACTCTCCATTCTCCTGGAACTCATAAGCTCAGGATTCCAACAATCACAYGCAAACCCATTCCTCTAGGAATAAACTGATTCTGTGACACAAGTAAATGTTTCTGYTACACAGATGCAAAATTTAACTGAAACATCTGCTGATAAATACAAGACTAGAACACCTCAAAGGCAGTAACAGTGGAATTTATTTCCACAGGAAACCTCATTTAGAGGCAGTGTTCATAGACAAGAAGGCTTCTTCAAGCACAAGACCAAACCCAAAGATTTGTTATGTTCCCTGAGCCATCAGTCTGCAGGGTATTTCACATATTCCCACAATCAYTGATCACAATTCATTCCCCAGTGGAGACTCTGGGCCCTACTTGGCAAGACTATTTTTTTTCGGAGACCATGATGTAAGGGAGAAAATACATGTTGATGGGAAGCTATGAAATGTCACTAAAAACCACCAAGCAGCCAGTCCTCTAATATGAAGTCTGTTTTACAAGGGCTATGGAAATGCAACATGAAAAAAGTTTGTCTTTCAAAAACATTAATCCAATATTAAAACAAAGCACAGTCTCTTTTCTTATGAATAATCAGTATTCACTAAGTAATTAGAACAAAGGAAATCTTTACCTGCCATATGAAAGTAGCTTGGAGTTACCTTTGCTAGGGGTGCAAAAGGAGGGATTGAGGCAGGGATAAGGCTTGCTTTTTCCAGTCACAGARATAAAGCAGTTTTCCTCACATAGCTTTCCTCTTCTTCACTTCCCCCTCCTCCACACAAAACCCAAGAAAAGCTGCCATTGCTTTAGGTCAAAGGAAAAACAGGCCCAGCTGCCGTAAGCCAAACAACGTACAGGTTTGCTATCTCCCCTGCTGTTTTGGCTCGAGCTCTTCAGACTGGAAAATTCAGAAGCACGATCTCCCAAGCTCTATAAATGCCAGAACCATCTAAGAGGAAAATAGGACAAGGCCACCCCCAGGCAAGTTTGTACTAAAATCTGCTGGCTGCAAGGCAAAAATACAGTAAACATCRCATAGGGACAGACTGCTCCTCAGAAAATATTCCACAAGAACAATATAGCTTCCAAAGAAAGGCTGCGCTAAGGGGACTTCTGGAGGGAAAAAAAATGCAATGTTTTAAAATCCTTGTGAGGAGTTAGCAAGCTAATGGCACACTCAAAGACAAATTGTTTGACAGGCAATATGCTTTTGACATTAATCCAAAGAAGAAATGTAAAAGCGACATTGAATGTTCTCTCCAAAGTGGTAACGAATTCGGTATCCTAGAATAGTTCTGCAGTTCACTAAGGAAATTTTGCTTTTGTCTTAACAATTGATTACATGGAATAAAAAAGTAATATCAAGCAATTAATCATCAATATCACCACCCTGACTCTTCAGGAACAACAATTTAAGTTAAATTTTTGCAGTCCTTGAGAAATGAACTTTGAGACTGATTACAGTATGTTTTAACGTGCTCTATACTGACTCAACCTTGAAAAACAAGCCAAAAACAGAAGTTGAAACATCCTTTTTCCTGTGTAGCTCCAATTTGCAGTAGCAAGAAGCTAAACAACATGCTCTCCACCAGATGGCTGAAATAAAAAGAACACTCCTTCTGATTAATTAGGAAACAAATGAATCTGCTGTTAGCACAACAAGTTACCATCAGGAAACCTGGGTTCCCATTAAACTTTGATATTTGTGCTTTCTCTGCAACTGTGTGCAAGACCATCYTCAGGTTTGTCTCTCATTTCAGAAGCAAAGCATTTCACACCAGTCCATCGAACAAAGTGTCACACCAGCCACCCCACACCTAAAAAGGTACTGGCCCTTTTCACAGACAAGCACCACAAGTTTCCTAAAAGAGAAAGCATCCGCCACACTAGAAACAAAGGTCTCCCAGTGCTGTGAGGAGAACTGATGGGTAAAACCACACATCCCTTGTCAGGGTTCAGTGAGCACTGG